TCACCTGAACTACTAATGGAGTGATAAATCACTTTCGAAGTTGCACTTAGAGTCCTAGATAAATATAAGACTTTGACAAGTGAGTTAGTTAGAGATTTAGCTTTAGTGTCATATATATAATATACAGCTTACAATTGTTTAATAAAGCACACATAACTAGCCTGACAGAGGGTTAAATAAAAAAAAAATATATATATATATATTACTATATTATAATTGATTAAAAAAATATGCATATAAATATTTTATCCTTAAAAAAAAAAAAAAAAAAGTAAATAATATAAATAAAAAAATTAAATTAAGATAAATAAATTTTTTAAATATTTGAAAAAACTGGATGATATTTATTTTTATTTTTTTTTATTTTCTTATTATCTACTTATATATTTTTAAATATTACTTTTTTAAATATAATATATAGTTTAAAAAATTGTTTTTAAAGATTAAATTTAAAAAATTTTTAGATCTATAATAAATTAGTTAGATTTGTATTTAAAGATTAACTGTAGATGTGTCGTGCTGCTCGAATGAATATGTACTTTTATATTCTTTTGATTAATAAACTATCAATTTAACCTGGCTGCAGATTATTTGCAAAAAAAAAAAAATACAAAACCATCATATTAGTTTGATTATAAAATATTATAGATATTTTAATTTTTAAGATTGTTCCACAGATGAGGCTGAGCTAACGTTTAAAAAAGAAAAAACAAAATCCTTATCTGTGTATGACGAATTTGAAATTAAAGCCAAAACTAGATAAAAGAGGGCGTCATCAAAATAATGCAATAGTGTAATTGATTTTACATATATAGCTTAGATATAGACACGTGTACTTCCAGGATCCCATTCATAGGGTAAATTAAAAGATTTTCACATGTTCCATTGAAAGATTGATTTGAACTTTTATGCGACTTCCTAATATAAATTATCCCTTTGACATGGATTATACTAAGTATATGCACTTAACATAATGTTATGAATCTAAAAAAAGATTCCATCTGTTGCCATTCTCTCAGAGGCCTTAATAAATATCCACGAAGAAATTTTTATTTTTCGTCGGTATACGATGAAGTTCGGCAAGACGCTTTTGAAAAGCCAGATAACCGAGTGGTCAGGGTATAAGAAATACTTTCTTATTATAATCAATCTATCAAATTAATTTAAAACTAATTTTAGTACGATACATATAAATTAGAAACTATATTGCCTATAAGACATTGAAGAAGCTTATTAAAAAGGCCGAGGAAACAAAGTCACAATATGATTATTCAACCGATGATAATATTATCGGTAATATTAATTAATTTTTTTTTTTATGAATCTTATCGATCGTTTAAATAAGTTAATCTTCGACTCGCATAAATTCAGCTTTCTTCTTTTTGCTCGATCGCGAGCTGGAGAAGGTCAACGCGTTTTTCTTGTATAAACGCGCCGAGATAGAAAGAAGGTTAAGAATCTTATCCGAAAAATATTGTTACCCTCATAGCAACGGTCAGGATGATCCGGCGATGGGTTTTAGAGAATTAGAAAATGGAATATCGAATTTTATTCCTAATACGGAAATAGACTCCGAATTATTACCAGTATTGTTAGAAACCAAAGAACAGATTAACAAGATCTTCGGTTTTGCAGACATAAACAAGAAAGGATTCGATAAAATTTTGAAAAAGTGAATGTCAAACACTTTTTTTAATTTCCACTTTATAGTAATTTCACTAATATGCGTCTTGATCTATCCAGGTTTGACAAGAAATTAGGAGGAGAGGCTCAGAGACTTTATTTGAATAATAAGGTTTGTGTCCAATAAAGATCATTATAACGTTGACGGGAGCGACTACAGAGAAAGTATTAGGAAATTGTGTATAAGATTACGATCGCTTTTGTGATCTTAATCCACAATGAAATATCTAGTGTATAAATAAATATGTGTATATCCATATACGGAACAAATAGTAAGAGATTACTTAATATTTCGCTTGCCTCGTGAATAAAATGTTAAGAATAGTAGCAAAATATTAACTGCCCAAAAAGCTAAGCGAATTTTTATTAATAGGTAAATGTCCTACCATTCGCCTCGAGTTCTATGTTAGGAGAGGTCTTGGATTTAATTGAACAATGGATCGTAAAAAGTGAGAAGGTTAATCATTCCGGAAGTGAATCTCGATCAAAGCCCAGTACAGGATTGACCGAGGAGCACAACAAAATATTACTCGATTCTATCGAAAAGGACGATGCAAATTCTTTGCAGCAATTGATAAATAAAGTCACAATGGAAGCATCTATCCAAAGTTCTTCAATGAAAAGGGTAAGATCTCATTATTCATGAAGTTATGCGTAATATATTTATGCCTCTCCGGTTCTATTAATATGCATTTTACCACTCTCAGATGTTAACTTCAATGCTTCATCAAGCATCATTTTATCGAGCTCCCAATTGCATCAGACTGCTCTTAAAAAGCGGCGCGGGTATTATTGATGAGGAGGAGATAAATCAACGCTCTTTGGTCCACAAATTAGCAATGCATGGTAGATGTTTGCCGGCAGAAAAGGGTTTCCAGTTGAATGATTTGACATCGGACATGCGATATTCTCATACTTCGTTATCATTCACAAATAAGCGAGAAAACTGTGTCGAAAATGTATCCGATATATCTGTTCCTGATGCGGATGATCCAGAAATAATTTCTATCATTCTTGAACATCTTCCTCCCACGGAATGTTTTCAAGCGTCGATGCCTGATGTATTCGGTCGCCGTCCTCTGCATTACTCGGCAATGAACGGATTTTTAAGGATTACGAAAATTTTATTGGAATATTTAATAAAGACCAAACAATTAGATAAATTCGAAGATCCCGCGTGGTTCGACAACGACGGTTATACGCCATTCTTCTATGCGGTGTCACGTGGTCATACGAAAGTCGTGGAGTGCATCATAGAAGTCTGTCGGATAAAAAGTGTCGATGTGGTTAGCAATGGTAAATAAATAACACGGGTCTCTAGAATTTCTTGGGATAGATCTTACCTAATCGATTCACACATTACTTACTAATTACCATCGTTAGCTGCAGAGTCTACTTCGTTATCAGGAATAGTTAATACACCAGCTGTTCCTACTGTTGCGGCCGCGCAGCAGATTCTCATACCGTCTTCTTACTATACTTCTCACAATACTTTTGCTCATAGTTATGCGCAAACTCCACTAGCTTTGTCATGTAGATTGGGGCATTGTGAAATGGCGAGATTATTGTTGTCTTACGGTGCGAATCCTGACGTACAGGATGAAGAAGGAGAGACTGCGCTGCATTTGGCGGCAAGGAATGGCTATTATGACTGCGTAAGAATTCTACTCGGATTAGATCGTTCGGATGAACAATCGCAATCAAGGATGAAGAAGGCTAATACTGAAATTAAGGAGAAGTTTTATGGTTGGACACCATTGTTCTTAGCGGGTAATATGTGAAGTTTATTTTTAATCTTTCTTTAAACAAAAATTATTGAAATTATGACAACCACCTTAGCTGTCGATGGGCATGCCGAGACTGTTGAGATATTGATTCAGGCTGGTGCAGATGCAAATGTCTTCGATTCTCGTGGGTGGACTCCTCATATGCACGCTATTTTTCGGGGCCACATCTTTGTGAAGAATATATTACAACCCCTTACATCTCCTTACGAATTAGACAACTTTACGCCTATGCCCGCAGATGGCGATGTTAAATCTTCCGTTATCGAATACGGTCACAAATACCTTCAGGATCAATCGTTGCTATTTGTTACTCTTGGGTCAACCGATGCACGCAAATCTGTGGTTCCCGTTAAATTAGATGGTACCCAGATAACACCACACACTTCCGTCTCTCTTGTTGTATATACTAATTCTGCTATTGGAGAGCCAGCGATTATTGACCTTCCTCTTAAAGATAATTCAGAAATTGATCAGCTAGCATTTTACATTCCTCATAATGCTGACAACGTTACTTTGTCATTTGACATATTGCCTACATTTAGGACAAAGAAACAATTGATTGGGAAAGCTACCTTTATAATTTCATCGTTAATGGGTTCTGCGACTGTCCCTATATTAGGCACACGCGATCTTGATGTTATTGGGATAATTGAATTTGAATTTTTTGTTGTCAATCCATTTAATCACGCCAAACTTTCTGTCGGAAGTAAACACACTTACTGGAAATCGATGACAACACAAGTTATCGGTCATCGCGGTATGGGTGCAAATTCGGCTGAAAAGCCGAATTTGCAACTTGGCGAGAATACCTTAATGAGTTTTATAACTGCGGCCTCCCTCGGGGCCGAATACATTGAGTTCGGTCAGTAGAACATATTTTAACTAAATTCCCTAGTTTGATCGAACTTTTGATGGTGAAATTCTCCATTATTTTAAAAATAGATGTCCAGCTTACGAAAGATCACGTCCCAGTGATTTATCACGATTGGACAGTCACCGAAACTGGTTACGATATCCCAATGCATTCCATGACATTGAAACAATTCCAAAAACTCAAATATGCTCATACTCGGCTTGAAGAAATTTTAACTCAAGATCGAAATATTAGAGACGAATTTCAGCATTCTGCGTATCATTTCGATTCAATTGGTGTGGAAGGTGTTCGAAAAATAAATATGGAAAAACTAAAACGATCCAATAGTGAAGGTTCAATTAGTCCTTATTCGCAGAATCAGTTAGTAAAAGATGGGAAATTCAAAGGAAATGGTGTCGGAACAATCCAGGCACCTTTTGCAACCTTAGCTGAGACGTTCCTGGTAGGAATTTATCAGTTATTTTATTATTATTAATTTTTTTTAATGATAATTATATATTCGATCATTTTTATCCTTATTAAAATAGAAAGTGCCATTAAATATTGGCTTCAATATAGAGGTCAAGTATCCGATGGTAGACGAAATTGAGGATGACGATCTACCAGCATTTGGTGATATCAACTTCTTTCTGGACACTATTCTTCGTCACACCTATGAAAACGCACAAGATCGAAAGATCATCTTTTCATCATTTCACCCAAACATTTGTTTAGGGCTCTCTTTTAAACAGCCAAACTATCCGGTATTCTTCTTAACGGATTGTGGTTATTATCCACTAGCTGATGTAAGGTGTTGTTCTCTTCAACAGGCAATTAGATTTGCAAAACTTGCAAATCTTTTGGGGATTGTCGCCAAGGTCAATCCAATTATCGAAGCACCAAAATTGGTGAATGCTGTTAGGGAAGCGGGATTATTGATGTTCACTTATGGTGATTCAAATAACGAGGTATCTAACGTGCGATTGCAGAGAAAAGCCGGTGTAGATGCTGTTATTGTGGTAAGAAATTCCTTTTCAACTAACCAACATAATATGTTGTTTGTAATAAAAATTAACGAAGTTGAAACCTTTTTCGTTAGGATTCTGTGTTAGCAGTTAGAAGAGGGTTGCAACAAAATGAATAAGACATTTGGAATTACAATAGAGAAAATTTTTATTATTATAGGTACTGTTTGATATGCCTTGTTGAAATTATGTGAAGTTTATTGTTAGACATGTAATTTATTAGCAATATGAATGTTGTACGTGCATTGAGTCCAAGCGGGTCGTTCCCGACCCGCAGATCAGATAGGTTAAATTATCTAAATTAGTTTGATTCATGGTTTATATTATATATTATTAAAGTCTAGTGAATATATTTTATACATAGCAATAATTTAGGCAAGATTTAATTTAAGTAAAGACCAATACAAAAATACTCGAATCAAAAATTATATTTTATTTGTTTCAGAGTTTATAAAATAATAGCCTGTATCTGTATAAGCCACTATTCTTCTATCAGATTAGCTATGTGTACTTTGTTAAAAAATTGCATACTATACACGCACGCAAGTATTTATATGGTATTAAAGCTATAATTATAGCTAACTCACTTATCTTTAATTGATTTAAGTACAATTTTGAAAATGATTTATTACTCTATTTACAATTCGAATAAATATCTTTTCAATTATAAATATTACTAATTGCAGGTTATTATTAGAGATTATATAAGTTACCATTATTATTATTATTATTTTTAAATACTATATCAAGCTAGGTATATGTGCTTTATTAAACATTTGTATACTATACATTGTAAAATGTTTTATCAAAGTTAAATCTCTACCTAATTTATGATTTATTTTTTTTTGTTGGTGTTGAAATTGGTTTGTCCTTTTGAAATTGCAGTAATTGAAAGACAATAGAGATTTTTATCAATATGTTTTACTATAATATAAATATTTAGATTTGTAGTTTGATTAGAGTACAGTCTCTCTAAATAAATGTACCTTATTATTTTATTTCAATAAAATGGTCTTGCCCATTTTGATAAAAAAAAAAATAATAATAATAATTATAGATCAAAAGTAGTTATAAATTAACAAAAGTTAAAGCCATCAACTAAATAATTCGAAAATAAAATATAAATTAATAAAAAAAGCTAAAAAATATATCAAGTAATAGTCATGACTAAAAAAACTTTTTCCACTGATTCTCTAATCACACACAAAAAAGATATTCACAAGAAGTTTTATACTTCCTTGTTAATAAAGTTTTGTTTTTATACTTTCGTTAAAACAACTTGAAACTTGTTTTCATGTATCTCTTCTACCCTCTCTTACTTGTTTATAAACTTTTTTAAATAAAACTTGGGTCTCCAGTGACTTGAAAAGACTCAAATATGCACTTTCTCTACTAAAAACAAGTAAGTTCTAGGAAATAAAAAGCTAACAAGTGAAGTGTTACCTTATAGTGCTAGAAGTGATAAGAAATAGAGGTTTTGTTGATAGAAGAAAGCTTAATATCCACCTTCTTACATACTGTCTTATATTTTCTTAAAATGTCTACTGTTTTTTACAGTTTTCTTGAAGGATTTTGCCTACCTCAGTTTGACCCTGAATTTTTGATAATACAATGTCACCTGATATTTGATTGGTTGATACAAAACATGTTTGTAACTGAATATAAACATGTTCCTACTGATTACCTCGCATGTTTCGATGACATCATTGATAATTAAAAAAATTGATTGATACTTTATGTCCATTCCATTCCTCCAATTAATTTAACCTATAGATCAAGTTCCATAAAACTAATAAGATATAAGTAACAAGTTCCCAAGTGATAAAAAAGCTACTATTTTTCAAGCTGAGATCTTTCTTTCTTATCATTCCAGTTAAGCAAAGTTCAAGATTAAAGTCTTTTTTTTATCCCAATTAGGAAATAAGATTGAATGGTCTCTAGTCTATACTAAGCTTCAACCTTTTGATTACAGGTGAAAATGTATTTTTCTAAAAGTTGTTGAAGGATATTGCAATCGATAAGGATTCCTATCATTTTCAAGATCCATCTATTATTACAAGGTAAAAAGATTATTGATGAATCTGACTTTTTAGATAATGAAAGATATATATTAGTAAAATTTCTTTAATTAGATGTGACTGTTGAAAGTTATTATACTAAAATAATATGATCCAGTTCCTACTAGTTACATAAAAACCTGGAGTTTATCATAAGTCACTACTCTCAACTCAAAAAAAAAAACTCTCTCCCGTACATATCAGATTTATGAAAATTTTCTTTTTTGAAAATTTTCTTCTTTCGCAAAAACAGATTTCCAAGCATTGAGTTTTATTTACAATATGATACCAAAAACTATTTTGATCAAAAACACACAAATATCTGGCTAAAAAATTACAACAACGTCTCAAACACAACAAAATAACACAAGAAACATGAAGTTTAATGAACAATAAACTCCACCCAAAAACACTCTCAAAACAAACTTAAGAAGAACAACTTCTTTATACAATGATAGATATAACTCAAACAAAGCAAGTACATCTTCCAACAACAGCAACAACACACAACACAAATACAAAAACAGGATAAACATATCAGTTAACACTATAAACATACAAACACCTCAAACTAATCAAAATGACAATGAAAGCAATCCATTTACCCCACGCGGCTTTAACAACACAGATAATCAATATGATGACTGGTTTGAGGAAGTATAGGCATTCCAACCTTCTTCTTCCTCCCTTAACGAAACTACTATTCAACAAAATATCTTCTTTACTATAGACAACAAATCAACTGACTGGTCTATTAAATATGATAGAAAACATTTTAAAATGTACATTTCTACAGCAGAGATCACTGGCAAAAATAATGATAGCAAACTCAAACTTCTACAAAAATTTTTATCAAGATTGGAATCATTCACATCAATCAAAATCAACAGATCCCAAGAAGGAAGTAATATTACAACTCTTTTTGGATCTGAATCAGATGCAGACAAGCCAAAAACATTAAGCTTGATGATAACACCACTATTCACTTGCAATCTTTACCTGTATACAATGGGATTGAAGCCAAAAACAAAACAATCAGAGCATGGAATATACTCCTCAACATAATATTTACAGATATCCATATCAGATTCTCCAAATTTGGTGAAATTAAATTGATCAAAATGCAAACAATAGGCATATGGCAATCAGCTAACATAGAATTCCACAACTAACAAGATTACGACAAAGTTAGTAACTACTGGACAATCTCTTTCAAAGCTAACTTGATTAAAATTTTTCCATTTCTCAACACAAACCAAATCAAAGAAGAAAGAAGCATATGCATACTAAAACTCATCAACTTTTTTTCCAGGCACTATAGGTTTTGACCTCAAGAAAATCATTTAAACAACTAAAGCATAAATATGCTACATTCCACGTACTATCACTTATAGAAGAAAGAGATTTGCAGTTCTCAGCTTCAAAGACAAAGAAATTCTCCTTCAAATCAAAAACATCCAAACCTTTCTAGGCAATATTGAACTCATATGGGCAGAACTATCCAAAAAGAACTGCAACATCTGCTCAAGTACAGATCATATTTTTAAAGACTGCTCCACCAGAGCACATCAAAAACAATCAACAAAACAGAAAAAACTCAACATCAAGAAATTTGATCACCTATATACAAGATTCAAACTAGCAAGCATTTCAAAATCCAAAACCAAATTCTCACTTAGAAGATCATTTGCACAAGTAGTAAAAGATAACTAAAAGTCAGCAAAACTACAAAATATAAACCAAACCCTGCATATTGAAAACCCCATACTGAAAGATATCTACAACATTCTCAAACATCTCAGTAATGAAGTTTTTTCAATCAAACAAAATCTCAATATACTCAATCAAAGAATTGATAATCTTGAAGATGAAATAAATGTCTTATACAACAATCCACTGGAGGAATCCTTTCAAGAGACAACCACAATGGTAAATCAAGATAATGAAAATTCTTACAGCACTACTTCTAGCATAGTCAGGAAAAGACGTGCCATTAGCCCTGTATAAGATATTAGAGCAGAACAAGAAAAACTTTTCAATCAAATAGACAACTTAGAAAATTCAATCACCCAAATGACTTTATCCTATAAACAACTCATTGAAATGCAACTTACCTCCACACAAAACACAAACCCCAAGAATTTATTAAAACAATAAATCACAATCTTTAACTATCAACAATCACATACTCAACAATTATTTCAATTGATCCTTCCTCTTTAATAACTTCTCTTTCACCCCAATCTTTCTCAATTAACAATACACCTAATCATGAAAACACACAAGAAACAAATATTTCTAAACACAACCAAACCCCTTTAATATGGAAAATATATTCTAGAAACATTAAAGGCTTGTTCATTGAATACAAACGCAACTTATGGTTCAAATACTGCAAAAACAACAAATGAGACATTATAATCATCACAGAAACTAATGGAAACACCAAAACATCCAAATACTGGATATCCAATATATTCAAAACCTGGTAGACACATAACTTAACACTCACTGGCCAGGGCATGGCTATAAGCCTAACTTCACATCTCATCACCAGAGTCTTTAAACATCAAGAAATCTCAGGAAGACTAATTGTACTTGATCTCTCCTTCTCTAGAAAAAATTTGTTAGAATCATAGGCATTTATATCCCACTCTCCAACCACTCTCTCAAAACATCAATTCACAAAAAATGTAAAGACCTCATTATAGAAGCACACAACAAAAACTGGTCAATAATAATTGGAGGGGATTTCAATAAAGTCACCAATCCCTCAATAAATAAACAATCACCCAATTACCAACCAAATGACAAAACATCTAGCAACTTCATCAACTTTCTCCAATAATATAACTTTTTAGACTTGTTCAGAGAAACAAATCCATACAACAAAGAATTTACCTGGCACAGCTTCAAAAATTAATACAGTAGAATCAATCAAATCTGAATATCTGCGAAAGAAATCTAGAATCTAATAGAAGCTTACATTGACAAAAACACAGCACCTTTAATAAACAGTAACCATGGGGCTACAATATGTCACCTAAAAACATGACAACTCA